GTCATTTGTTTGTTTATTCCACCCATCCATCCATCCATCTATCTATCATGTCCAGGTTTTTAAAAATTAGATTTTATATTTAAAAGAATTTCTTTGGAATTCAGACCATTAGAATTTACTTTACCCATCAATTCTGTTTTGTTTCCAAATTCAACATCTGATGAAGGTCTTGATAACGGCCGAAACGTCATTTTAATCAATAAAGTTTTCACCCCTTCAAGAGTGAGTGCTGCACCTTTTTCAATTGATATTGTTTCCAAATTCAGAAATTGATTTAGATCAAATTCTAAATGGTGCATAAACTCACTACCACTGCACCACACCACACTATTGTTGTTAGCATTGATAGCACTAAATGGAGATTTCATCAGACTGTTTAAAGTGGCTTTGGAGAGCATTTACAGACTACATTTACAATTCATAAAACCATTTCAACCTATATAACAGATGTCAGATAAATCTAGCTCATAAATGTATTGAACAAAGCATATTTTATGGAGAATGCTTCAGTGCTAGCATGCCCTGCTGACTGTCGAGTTGATGCTCTGGGTCACCCTCTACCCACTGTGCTCTCTTGCACGCAGTTTTAATAAAGCATCTTTGCAGATCCATGCTTCATCCAGCACACTGTTTTGATAAGACAGCTTGTTTAGCTGTCTGCTCGGTTAAACCAAGTGTAACAGCTGCACATGGCTTACAGCTGGTGCTTTCTGCACAGGACGTAACACTGTAAAAGTGTCTGAAGCCACTGATTTACAACACCTTTGACTTCCTATTTCTTCTGAATTAGGTTTTTGGTACTTTTGGAACCACTGCTGTTAAGGGTATATCAGGACTCAGGCTTTCATAGAGTCAATTTCAGTGAATCATTTTAAGGCTTCATTATCCTGAAAGCCTTACTGGTCTGAACACTCTGCCTTTGGACTTTAAAGGAGCCATATCATTCTCTTTTTATAGCTTTTTATTATAAGTCCAGGTTTCTTGCACTAAAAGAGTTGTAATGTGCTGTAGTTACATTCTCTTTCAGAGTCTTTAAGCTACTGTACTGTACTTTGAAGACCTCTATTATGATTAGCAAACCTCTTTTTATGTGGAAGCTTCCAGTGTAATTCAGTCTTTCAAGTTTGGGCCTAATTGCTGAAAATTAAATACAATGGTTATGCTGTGATAATACACTCAAGATTTCTGACCAACCTGTTTTTTGTTGTTGTTTTTTTTAGCTTAGTGTCAATAAATGGTGTGAATGGATCTGTGCGCATGATTCAATATTAATGATTCAGTCATAGGTAGATAGATAGATAGATAGATAGATAGATTCTTTTTATTTGATTTATTTAATATTATTTATAAAATTTATTACATATATTTTTTAGAAATGTATTTTATTTTATAGCAAATTTTGTTCATATTTACTTTATGTATAACATTTTATTCTTGCTTGATGCAATAAATGAAAAAAAAAAATCATATGTATATATCATATTATATTCAAAAGCATATACAAAAGATGAAATGTGTTCATATTGCATCTAGCAATGTCTGTCTTTGAGTTCTTGCTTTGTTATCTTTGTTAATATTTGGAGTTTAATTAGGCAGGATTAGTTTAGCTGAAAACAATATGACATGCACTTGAAAACTGATACTCATGCAATATAATAATGCAAAATAAGAACCAGTTCACAACCCCCAAATGTAATCTACGTAGTATGACACTCTCATATCTCAAAACGGCAAGAAATAAATCCATACATTTTCTATGGCATGTCCCCTTTAAACCAGAATCAGTATCTCCACAGCCATCTCGCTATCTGTTTCACACATGCTATTTATTATGAATGAAATGCTATACATTCAGTATCACTATGCTCCTTCTTAGTCTCAGTATGCCCTTTAGGAGAAGTAGGAAAAGACATTTGTGAGTCTCCCGCAGAGATCCAGCAGTGCAGTAGTGGATGGAATAGCAGTTTTCCTCCAAAGCCATGTTGGGTTGAGCAGGGCTTCTCTCCAATAAAACCCACCGGGTCCGAAGCGGCTGTAATGCACAAAACAGCACTGAAAGTATAGACACATCATGTGTTAAAAATTCGCCTCTCTTCGTCTTCCTCTCTGTTTCTGTCTAGCTTCCTCCAAACCCTGCAGGACTCCTAAAGACTCCAGGGCAAGCGTGAGATGCGTTCCGATAAAATGTGTTGAAAACAGTTGCTCGCTAAACATTTGCTTGTCTTATCTGTGCATAAGTGTGGCCCTAGGCCTCTGGTGGAGTCATTTGTAGAGAGGGAATGGGAACCGAGAGGCGGTGCGTGTGACGCTTTTGATCTGCAGGCTCCTCACAGATAAGACTTAATAGTTTGTTTGTGAGAAAAAGCTGTCCTTATGAGTTTGCCAGGCTGATGTTTTCTACACATCACTATGCCAGAGGACGAGTCTGATTTCAGATTGAGGGTTGAGCGTCCTTGCTCTCACGGAGGTTACAGTTTCACATTATAACACGAGCACTTTCTGTTTCAAGAAATCACAGGTGCAGCTGCCGCATAAAACAGAGACTCTTGATATAATTCACTTCCTCTTGTTGCTTAAGATAGAAACATGGCATTGCAGAAAGATGTGAAAGTCTTTTTCAAGAGCTTGACAGGCGACGTACGGCCACCGACAGATGGAGGCTGATAATATAACTGGTAGAAACAGACACATTCTTGAGAACGTGCCCGGCGAGAGGGCAAAGGGGCTGATCTGTGGACCATAACAGGACATCCATTAAGATTCTAATCGTAGTTTTCTGGGTTGTTGTGTGAACACATTGCTGCACTGTTGATGCAAATTTCCTGTGTCTGTTGTCACTTTGGCATTTTGCACTTACTGGGAAAGGAAATTACAGATCATAACTTTACAAAACTGACATTTTTTTCTTCTTTTAAAGGAAATGTGCAAGATTCATTTCCAGTCATTTAAGTGCAGGCTACTAACTATTGTACTGATTAGTGTGTTGATTTATTAACAATACAGAATATAAATATACATTTTACAAACAAAATTAATAATTATGTTTATTTTATTGAAATGATTAATTATTTTTATCTTATTTTTAATATAAAAATATATAATGAATTTTATAATATTTTTTAATTAGTCATTAAAAAATAATATAAACAATAATTAATCATTTCAATAAAATAAACATAATTATTAATTTTGTTTGTAAAATGTATATTTATATTCTGTATTGTTAATAAATCAACACACTAATCAGTACAACACACTAATCACTAATCAGATTTATTAACAATACAGAATATAAATATACATTTTACAAACAAAATGAATAATTATGTTTATTTTATTGAAATGATTAATTATTTTTATATTATTTGTTATTGACTTATTAAAGTTTTTTAATTATTTGTAGTTTTATTATTATTTTTTATTTGTATTATTATATTTAATTTTTATGAATAATTGTAAAATATTAATTTATTTTTGTTATCATTTTGAATAATCCAAAAAACTAAAATAAAAGTATAGTAATTGATCATTTAAATAATTGTAAAATAAGAATTGTTAATTCTGAATAAATAATTTAAACACACACACACACACACACACACATATATATATATATATATATATATGTATATATGAAGAGTTTATTTGCAAAAACAGATAACTCAATGTTTTTATTATGTTATCATGTTTTTATTGTGTTAGTTAGCTGTATTTTTTAGTTATTTTTTAACCTATTCAAAATTAATTGGAATGCACAGTGAAAAAACGTGAATATTTTTGAAAATTGTTAAAAACGGCGTTATCTGTTTTTGCAAATGAACTCTTTATATAATATTGAGTTAGCAGTTGTGGTTTGTATCTGTTTTATTTTGTTTGGTTTAATTTGACCATATTTTAAGCAATACTGACAACAATATTGCAAACATAATGCAACATAATGCTGCTTTAATTTCACTGCTATTACTGACTTTCACTCAAATAACCGCAAGGACTCGAATCTTTAGAATGATTCAGTTATATTATGTTTTTTTTGGTAGCTTGCAGTTACCGTGGGGTTTTGAGCAGCATGTTCTGCTGATGAGATTCTGGATCTAGAGTTCTGATAAAGTATCTGTTTTGTAACAGAGCTGCGGTCATGAGTCAACACAGGTGTCTGTTTAATATGACAGCTTGTGTTGGAGACTCGTCTCATTTCACTCCATAAATGAATGCGTTTGGATGTTCGCCAGTCTTTTGCTCTTTGGTAAACTCATTAGTCAGGATTCGCTGAAAGTATCGCATGAAATAAGAATGAAAAATTGAATTGAAAAAAGCTTGATGCAAGCTTGTCTGCATTTTAATCTTGATTTCCAATATGGTTTTTTAGTTATAGTTCCCATATACCTTCATGTTTAATTGAATTTAGGAATGTTTAAAAATAATAGGTCATATATTATGTAGTATTATATAATTATATTACATTATACAATCAGTATTATATAATAATTAGTATATAATTGTAAGCAATTTTTTCAAAGAATATAGAAGTTTTGCTAACTTGCAAACGTGGCTTCTCAAAACTTAAGTGATGTCCCTTCCTCTTCTTTATGTTATTTAAAGTAATTATAATTATGTTTGATTATTGAAATAATTTCTAAGATGGGGAAGAATCCAGTTTTCATTAAAACTAATGTTTTTGTATTAATATAGTGCAAATGGGATATACTGTATGACTTAATCATGACAGATTTGGTGTAATAAAAAATCAAACCATTTTTAACAATTATTTTCTGCTTAAAAATATTTTCATGAGCATTTAAATGACAATGTGTGAACCTTATATGAGCATGTAATTATAAACTATTCATAAAAAGTATCTTCAAATAATATTTTTGTTAAATAAATCATCAAGTGTTGTGAACACAAATGATACTTCAATATGAATATTCATATTAAAAATGAGTTAAATATTAAATATTCTTCTTTAATATAAAATATGCCTTTTATTTCTGTTTAGTTTCTCTGCTTGAAGAACATCAGGACATTTTTGCACGCCTGCTCAGAGATATTCGGCATGAAGAAGAGCGAGCTGTTTGAGGCTTTCGATTTGTTTGACGTTCGAGATTTCGGAAAGGTAAGATGAAATTTCACATTCAACTCTCTTGTTTGAAACACATTCACTTTGCACTTATCCCATAATCCACTGACATATTTACTTGTTCTGTTTGCAAGCATACTCAAGCTGGCATAATTTGAATTGTTCTTGTGCCACAGTCATCCTTCAGAGTTTATGGTGTCGCATCAGTCACAGATGTGGTTGTGGGAAGTCGTGGCCTAATGGTTAGAGAGTCGGACTCGTAACCCAAAGGTTGCGGGGTTTGAGTCTCGTACCGGCAGGGATTGTAGGTGGGGGGAGTGAATGTGCAGCGCTCTCTCCCACCTTCAATACCACGCCTGAGGTGCCCTTGAGCAAGGGTGTGTGTGTTCACTGCTGTGTGTGTGCACTTTGGATGGGATAAATGCAGAGCACTAATTCCGAGTATGGGTCACCATACTTGGCCACATGTCACGTCACTTAAGTTTCCTGACATTAGCCTGTGAGCTCGTTGTGTTTTTTGTGGTGTTGTGTGTCTCAGTTGATTATGTTCAGAGATGCTGAGCTCTTTGTTGGCTGTCTGCTGTAATAAAGTCTCAGTGTCTGCGTCTCATCCTGCTGGTAATTTAATCCACTCTTCAGTATGTTTAATTAAAGATCGGTGGAAGACAGCATGGGAAGTGGCCGCCCTCTGTGAGGGTGTGGCGTGATTGTCTGGATGTATTACATCTTCAAATTAGTTACATGCTTGTTTGACTGATAGCATGCAGTCATATGTGTGTTTAGAAGTCAAACCGTGTCTGTTTTTAACTTTGAATTCAGCATATTGACCCAGGCAGATGTTTTGCCCCAGGCCTGATACTGATCAATACAGTCAAGACTGAGCCCCTAAACCCCAAGGGGTGTCCTAATGCAAACTCAGCAACCTGTCAGTTCTCTCTCACCTGCTGTGAAATGTGAGCGGTAGATAGTAAATGAGTTGTGTGATGCTGTGAGAGATCATGTAATATTCCTCCCCAGGGAAGCAAACAAGTAAATAGCAAGCCATCAGTTTTACTGTAGCGGGTTTTGATGTGGCTCTTGTCAAACAAGATGGAAAAAGACAGAATAAATCTAGATTTAATATTATCTCATATTTTGTAACTGTGCACAAAATTAATTAATCGCATCAAAAATAAAAGTTTTGTTTACATAATATATGTATGTGTACTGTGTTTATTTATTATGTATATATAAATACACACACATACAGTATATATTTTGAAAATATTTATATGTATATACATTTATATATTTATGTTATTATATTATATATAAATATATTTAATACATATTTAATACATAAACGTAACATATTTTTAATAAATATATACATGCATGTGTTTGTATTTATATATACATAATACATATATGCAGTACATATATATATATATATATATATATATAATTAATTATTTCATTAATTTAATTTTAATCTCTGTAATTCAAAAATGTATGATTTCTTTAAATATTCGTATATCTAAAAAAAATCTCACTCAGATATAAAACTTTCTGAAAAATAAGTTATATTGATATGATAATTTTTTAAAGTGCTTGCTGCACCATAAAATGCAACTCCTGCTGTGTCCGGACTGAGTGCAGACTGCTAATGGAGTGACAAAATCGACCATTTGAGTGAACTGTCACTCATTTTAGGTGTTACACCGCCCCATTTATCCTAGTATGCTTTTAAACTAGATAGATGTGGCTTCATTGTTAAATCAAATGTGCTTCTTAGAAGCTTTTTGAAAAGCTGAAGTTAGCACTATTGTGTCTTTTGTCAAAGAAATGTTGTGTGTCTTTGTTGTGCATGGAAAGGGCTCATGTGCGCTTGACCCTTCTCTTATACAAAGTGCAGTGTTTAGTTGGTTTGACACTGTTTAGTTCACTGTCAGACATGTATTAGAGCTCATGTCGTGTGATTAGTCCACAGCTGTCTGCTGTACTCGCACATCTGTTGATTCTCTTATCTCATACAGTCTCTGTGTATGTATTCATAAGCACAGAAGGGGAAAGTGTTCACACACACATTTTGACATGCCTGTAGAACGGTCAGAGAAGACATCACCAATTTTTTCCACATGACTGGCAAAACATCTGTTTCATTCATCTGACACTCGCTACGGGCAACTCTGCCAACACTTGTTTTATCACAAGGACACAAATGTTCTGAAAGCATTTTTAAAGGGACATTTGGAATAAAGTAGCACAGCTACAGTATGTCACAAAAATTCATTATTTTTCATTAAATGTATTTGTAAATGTATAATGGAATCAAATCCATTAAAATACATAATGTATGAAATAAAATAAATATATACTTAAAATAGGCTTGAATAACATTTTTTTGTGTTTAGTGCATTTTAAATATTGTGGATGTACATGGTACTTCAGTACGAATATTAATATAAAAATATGTGTCTTTAATATAAAATTCATTGCATTTGCATTCTAATCAATTGCATTTAAAATTTAAGAAATAAAATGATTTATGATTATTTTCATCTCTGTTTCTTTGTGCTGTTGGGGTTGCCTGTTGTGATGACGTATTTCTCACTGTCTGATAGATGGTAACGATTGCTCTCCAGTAATAAGCTTTTGAGCTGCAGGGCTGTTAGTTTGACCGATGTGTCTATATGTTTACAGCCACAGTGACAGCTCAACTAAATCAATCCATTCATAAACCTCCTGCTTTCTTATTCATCCATCTCTAGTCTATCGCTTCCTGTCTCATCTATTCATCTGATCCTTCTTATCTGCCAATCAGAGCAGAAAATTAATAACTCTTTACTGAATGGTTAATTAGGACATATTATTTCAGCAATATACACCGCGTGCATAATTATTAGGCATGTTGATATTCTGATCATATTTTATTCTGATCATACCCTCACTTAATAAGAATAACATGCTGAAATATTGTGAAATACATTGAAGTGCCCCTATTATGGATTTTTGAAAATGACCTTTACCTTGCAGTGTGTAACACAGCTCTAAGTGAATGAAAACATTCTGCCAAGCTTTAAATCTGAAAGTGCACCGTGTATAAAGTTATTGTCTTTCAAAAGAAAGAGTCGACTCTGAATCATTGAAACGAGTCATTTTTAAAACGAATCCCAAGCCGTTTCATGTTGACGTCAACATGAAACATTAGCATATTGCCCGCCCACTTTTCGTGTTAGTCTGAATGAAAATGCAAATTCATTCTTTGCCACTAGGTGCCACTTTTACAGGCATGGTGAAATGGAAATGAGACCAATCGGACCAATCACCGCAGATTAGTGTCACGCAAAGGAGGGGTTTGGAAAAATGAATCGTTGAGCGAATCGTTTGGGAGTCGTTGAGAAAGTAAGGTAAAAATAAATGCATATTATAAGACAATGAAAGTGTTTTTTGACCTTGCATGCATGTCAACCTGTTGTTGGGGACTCCAAAAACCAAAATATGAACCTTTCATTACTCATAATAGGGGCACTTTAAAGGAGACATATTATGCCCCTTTTTACAATATGTAATATAAATCTCTGGTGTCCCCAGAATGTGTCTGTGAAGTTTCAGCTCAAAATACTTCACAGATCATTTATAATATCATTTTGAAAATGCTTATTTTTAGTGGAAGCAGAAACACACTGTTTTTTTGGCCTGTCTCTTTAAATGCAAATGAGCTGCTGCTCCCCGCCCCCTTTTCCAGAATAGAGCTGCACCATTACAGCTTGTACCTGCTAAAAACATCTGTTTTGGTTCTGATTATAATGTTTATCGCGCTGAAATCATGCGTTTTAAACCATATGAGTTTACACTTCTGATATACGGTTTTCTGAGTGCACACATCCGAAGCACACGGACAGAAAGCG